AGGTTTCATTTATAATTGAAAAATGTACCAAATACTGAATTTTATTTATATTTAGTAAAAACTCGATTTTGTTTCTGGGGTAGTTTCAGCCTTTTTAACTGCAAAGCCCTCATATGAGTATGGTTGACTAGCATTATCGACCGCCTAGCTCCGATGAATTCCGACCCGGATTTTTGGTCGATCTGGTTGCGCAACTAATCTATACCAGAGCGTAGGATCGATTTTCCGAAAACGGGCTTTCGACCCAAGAACATAGGAGTATCTCAAATTTTTATCTTAATTGACCACCTTCGATGCTCTAGTTAAAAATTTTCTAACCCTAACCCTAATCTAAACGAACCAAAACCCTAAATTTTGAGTTTTCTATTTTTGGATAATCGATTCTAAGCCCTGTCTATCTGTGCCACAGCTATACGTAGAATGTCTTGCGGAAATACTTATTTCTACAAATGATACAAATGATACAAAACACAAAAGGAAATTTTAATATGTAGATTGCAAGATCAGATGTAAAGTTGGTGTAACATGAGATCGAAGACTTTCAAAAAATCGTCCGTAACATAAAATTTCGACCGAGAAACCACCCTTTGCGTTCTAATTAAAAAAATTCCTTGCTAAATTTTATATATATTAACGCAAAAACCAATAAAATAATCCTTTTTGGTTTGTATCACTTTACAAAAGTAAGTAAATCGAAGTGATGTCGAGTCAACTATATTGCATTGAAAACCGCTAATGGCGAACGTTTAATGGTCACATGTATTACACAATACTGTACAAATGTGCACAATGTGCCAGTGAGCATTAGATGGTTAAACTTAGTTTACATTCTAAGATTCCGATTCCCAATGAGAAAAGATTCTAAGGAAGATGACGCATTTTCGCACAATTTCAGTGTAAAATTACAGCCCGCCAGAATTTAATAGAATATTTAATTCTAATCTACGTAGAGATCTTTAAAATTAGACTGTTGGCAACACTAAAAAATTTTTTTTATTGATAACTTGTATAGTAGTTCAATTTATAGCCCAATAATACGTAGAATCTTAACTGTGTTACAGAGAACTTGAAAAAAACTATTTAAACCATCAGTTCCTCTTTTTTGCAATTATTTTTCAGCCTCAAAATTTTTAAATACAGTACTTTTAACAGATAAAACACTCGTATTTTTGCTCTAAATTTTCGAAATAAATATTATGGAAAAATTTAAAGAGGTGGGTTAGATTTGAACCATATATTATCTGTTGTACGTATTTAAAATAGGTAGGAGTTTGCATAAAGTCAGTCAAGAATATTCGTTTGACTTAATATTAGTTTAAAAAAAAAACTCCCGCGTTTTATGCAAAACTTTATTATCTTCTTATGCATTGTTAGTATAACGAGACAGTAGTATGCGATAAATAATAATAGTAAGGGTTAGTTTGTACCGTTATAAGGTTTCGGAACCAATTTATTTAAATCAAAATTTGATGTTTAGTCATTTTGATAACTTGAGTGTTAAGAGATAAAATATAATTTTGATCGAGAATTGTAACAATTTTTAATATATTTTACTATGAGTGGGTACTACTTAAAAATGTAGTCTAATCAAATTTAAAGTTTGATCAGAAAGCGCGCACGGTACAAATTGACTCAAATAAGAGTAATAAGACGAAGTTGGGATGACTTTCAAGTTTAGAATAATCCTTATAATAATAAATCTTATTTATTTATTTATTTATAATCAATAGAAAGTCAATTCCCTCAAAGCTGAACTCGAAGCAGCCAATGCTCGTGCTGATGCGGCAGAACAAGAACTTAAAAAATTTAATGAAGACCAATCCTCCAAAGAAATTGAACATTCTAATCTTCTGAAAAAAGTCTCATCACTCGAAAATGATTTAGATGAGACCGAGAAGAATTTGAAAGAGACTACGGAAAAGTAAGTTTTAAATTATTTAGGATTAGGAATAGCGAATTTTAATCAGAAATTGGAAAGCCATAGCATAGAAAGATTTATTATTATCTTTCAAATAATAACAATATTAAAACCTATTTTATATTATTTATAGACTTCGTCAGAGTGAACTTAAATGTGAAAATCTTGAACGTAAAGTCGCACAACTTGAAAGTGAAGTTGCAGATAAAGAAAAGAAAAATGAGGAATTAATCGAAGAACGTAACAAACTCAAAGCAGAATATGAAAGTGTCATTGATTCTATCAGTGAATTGTAAAATATCTTTTGTATATTTAATGTTTTGGGCTAAATCCAATTTCCAAATCCGAATTGTTTCGGATTTGATTAGTAAATGGCATTACGAAGGTTTGTTTATATATATTAATGGCAAATTATTTACCAATTTCACAAACTATATGCATCTTATTTATTATTACAAATGGGTTTAAATTATTGATTTTTGTTGACTAGATAATGTATCTATTTTTCATTACAAACTTAATAAATCCATCAAGTTATTATTAATCCATAATTATTGACCAAGAATGTTATTTGGTATGAGATAAAAATTGTAGGTTATTCGTGACTGGTTCATTATATTAAAAGACTGTATCAAGTCCTCTTGTTTTGAAATTCTAAAAAGTCCTATTTAAGAATTGATTGGTTCTATTTTAAAAGGACATAAAGCTATTCACTACTGAAATATTTGTAAATAATAATTAATGACTGACTAATATATTTACATACATATGTGCGTTTCGTATATACACACGTATGTAAAGGTTTATTCTGAGCATTGATCCACTTAACTGTTACTGTCGTACGTACATGCTACATTTCAAAAAGGCAATTTCTACTGACACGACAATGATCTTGCAGACGCAGCATCGCCAGCATTATAATGTTAAAGGTAGGAATTAGTTCACGTGTTTGCTGCTATATCGTACGTATCACAACTATTTTTTCAAGAATCGTAACACGATCCACGTGACACACTGTGTATGATCTATTTTCAATCTCTGCCACAATTCTGATGCAAATTCTAATGTTTTCACGCAAGTTTCTAAATATTATAAATGCCATTCATTATAGACAATCATCTGCATTTTTTACTTTTTCTCAACAAAAAACATCAAATAACCGTAATTCTTCCGTTTCTCCTTTTGAAAAAAGTGGTAGAAATCGCATTGGTTCAACAAATACAACAGATGATACTGAAGGAATTGACTCATTCCTTCTAAATTATGCAAAGAAACAAAAAAATGTTAGCGAAACAGCAAATGTAGAAGAATCTAATAATACTGATCTGAGTTCTTCGTCTTCTAATCTTTTATTGTCGAATTTTACAAATTCTACGAATTCCGATATTACACCAAAAACTTCTGGTTCTGACGTAGCAAAACTTTTATCGGATTTTTTGGTACCATCTGAAGAACTTTATCATATTCACATTCGTGCTTCTTATAATAATACTATAGTTACATTAACAAATTCTCGTAAAGATGTATTAATTAATTCTTCTGGTGGACTTGTTGGTTTTAAAAAAGCTCAACGGGGTGGTTATGAGGCTGCTCATCAAGCTGCTGCTGCTTTGGTCGAAAAAGTTAAACAAAAGGGAATTAAAATTAAGAATGTAGAAGTTTTGATAAAAGGATTCGGTCCTGGAAGGGATGCAGCTTTTAAAGCTATTGCTTCACCAGAGAATCCTTGGACTGTTAAAAGAATTACAGATTCTACACCATTACCATTTGGTGGGTGTAGGCCAAGGAAAGTTAGAAGATTGTGAGATTATGTCCAGAACTTTTTTATATACTTTATTTTTAGCAATATATCCATTTTATAATAATATGATAAACTAAATTAGATGCTAAATAACTTTTTGTAAGATTTTATAATTTGGAATTCACAATTTTATTTTATTTATTGTTATAATGAGTCTTTCTCGTTCGCTTGTTGATACTGAATATCAGCTTTATGTAAAATTTCTTCATTTTCAGCTTCTGTTTTTAATGGCGATCCGTATCCCATTTCATTTAATAATTTCTATAATGACCATTGAACACACTGGTCATTAAAAAATATGTAAATGAAAAAAAAAAAAAGGTTTGAAGTTTAAATTTTACAAGCAACAAACCTTTTGTTGATCCATACAATCCCAAAATTTATCTCTCATATTAATACAAAGAGTAAGTCTATCCCAAAGTTTTCCTTTTTTAAAACAATTTTGTAATTCTGTATGAACTTCTGAACAGTTAATTAAAGTAGCATCATAAACTTCTTTTTTTCTATCCCAGAATTCTTGACCTATTTCTTTAATCATTGTTTGATTTGCAAGACGTTGTTGTTTTAATTTTTCTTGATCGTTTAATGAATTCATTAGCAAAATAAAACATGCGTAATATTTAAAAAGAAATTTTCGATGTGTAAAAGTTTCAAGTAATTATTTATCTGTGAAAATTTACGATATGCAAAATTTAATCGACTTATTATTTCCTAGTAAGTAAATGTGGCTTTTTAATAAAATGATAATTTACCGATATAAGTACAGTTAGAATAGTAAAGAAATGACAGATGATTAATGTTTACATATCTGCACGACAAGCGTCTTCGCGCCATAATAATGCAAATGTATTAATTTCTCTTGAGACAAGAACATTTGGTTCAATTTATAATTTATTTATAAGCGATTACAAAATCGACAATCTGATTGGTGGCGATGAATAAGAATCTTCTTAAAATCTTATAATAGCTGATAGCTTTACAGGCTTTATTTCAAAGATTGGCACCTCAAGATATACGACATTGTTCTAATTATTGTTCTATAAAATATTTTACTAGCTTTAAATTGGATCTATCTTAAAATCCCAACAGGCAAAAATCCCGACAAGACAAAATCTTGACAAATTTGACCAGAATTATGATTAATTCTGAGTAGTTTCAAGAACAAGGAACCCATTGATTATCTACAAGACTAGCAACACCAGTCAAAAAAATTTCGCAGATCACGTGATCCTATAAAATGTAATGATGTACGATTAATATCTATCGCTATACATATACAATTATTAATGTATTTTCTAATCACTGATCAATCAAATAAAAAATATATATTAAAGATTAATAATACTATCGCTATACAATTATTAATGTATTTTCTAATCACTGATCAATCAAATAAAAAATATAACAATTTTTTTTTTTATTCACTTGTATCCTTTTCTTTTTTCTCACTTGTATCTTTTTCTTTTTTGGCTTGTATTCTTTTCTTTTTCATGCTTATATCATCTTTTTCTTTCTCACATTTTTTTTCACTCTCATATTTTTTCTTTTTCGCACTTGTATCTTTTTTTTTTTCTCGCCTCTGTTCTTTTTTTGTTTTTCGCTTGCTCAAATATAGATAACATTAACTCTAAAAAGAAAAAATGTAATTGTTGCAGGCTTTGGTACATAGAAGAAAATTTTATTAGTAAAAATAACAAAATAGTCTTATCATATAACAAGTGCCGAATCTCAGTTAGAAATAGAAACCAGATTAAAGAAAAAAAAAATAAAGAAGAAAAAATCGAGCAATGTCAAAGTTCTGCATATACTTGTGACTAACTTGTCGATTTATTATTAGAATTTTTAGATTTTTATGATGATTTCGACAATGCTGAACTGTGCTCACAAGTATTAGATATAGACTTTGCTGTTTTTTTTTATGCTTTTATTGACTGGGTTGAAATGATTAATGAGGATGAAAGCAATAAACTTATCACCTATCAAATAATAAAACTTATTTTAAAAGCTAACAGATTCGCATATGTTTATTATTCATGTGATAAGTTAAATGATAGTTATTCATTTTTATTTTATTGCAATTGTAAAATTAAAAGAAAAACAAAAAACATCCTAGTTGATGATATAGCTAAATGATGAAATACTGAGTCCTGATTATCTCGATATAGTTGTAAAGGATCGATTCTTGTTACAATTAAATGATCTCATAGGTTGGCTTATATTCGCTTCTACTACTTACTATATCCATGACTTCGATCAACTACTATTTCTTCTGAAATTAAAGAATACATTCAACAAAATAAACTTCTCACGGTTCCCCAGATTTATCATAACATAAAATCTTCAGGTCTCAATGGATATATTTACATTACGCAGTAACAAATTTACTACTGGTGTAAACGATTAGAGCTTGATGAGTACAAAATGGCCGAGGATCAAATAGAATCAACTCTCCAATACCTTTCAAAACAAACTATGTTTAAACTAATCATTTAGCAACCTACAATAATTTTATTTACTACACCTTTGTTTGATATTTTTCCAAAGAAACAAATTACTGTAATTGCTATCGATGCTACATACAAAACTAATTGACTAAAGTATAAACTTTATATAATTCTCGGAATTATAGATGGAGCAGGATTTTCTTTAACCTACCTATTGTTAAAATCTGATCAAGAAGACAAGCATTCAAAAATTCTAATAAATTGGTTTTATTTAATTAAAGAACAAGACATTCATCATGTTCAAACTTTTTTGACTGAGAAGGATTTTGCTCAAATCACATTAGCACAAAAAGTTTGGCCTCATGCATGAGTACAGCTATGTTATTAGCATGTTCTCAGAGCTATTAAAAAAAAACTTTCTAGTTCTGGAATTATATATTCAATATACAATGCATATGAAGCATATGCAATTTGTTTGGAAATTGATCCAACATGGCAACTGGCATCAAAAAATCTAAAAACATTTAATGAGCTCTCTTTAAATAATGAACTAACCAAAATATGAACAAGTATCAAGTATTTTGTCAGAAAGATCATTGTGAGAATATAATTCAACTAGTTTGAGTTTATTTTTTTGTACACCTATTAATTCCTACTAAAAATCATCTCAAATCATCTAATTTACAAGAAATTTGGATAAACTGTGTTAAGGAGCAGCATAATTATTATAAAGATAATAATTTGCCTCATATTTAGGCTTATTTATGGAATGAGTGGTACCAACTAGAACAATAGAAATTATGAGCTCGTTTGGCAACAACACACATCAATATTCTGCAGTTCTCTATGACAGTTGAAAGTCATTAGAAAGTCATCAAGTATAATTACCTTTTCAAGTATAATTGTGCTCATTTGGACTTATTAGTATATATTATAGTAATACAAATTATACCTGAGTTAGTAGATCAGCTTCAACAATTACGAGATAGTAGAATTATAATACATTAGTGTTCTGATTTTAGAACAGAATAGTACTAACTTAAAAAAAAATAATTCAACCAAACTCGTAATGAATTACTGACACAAACAAATAGATTTGCTCATGCCTTAGTTTTTTGTTTAGCAGATTTTTTATCTGTAAATATTTAGTTCAAAAAATAAATCTAATCCCAATTGAATTCTTTAAGAAGGTATATTTAATTTCTATATTTGAAATGCCTGAAGGCATCTATTCGTGAAGAAAAAAAAAAAAAAAAAAAATTTATTATACTAACATCAATTACTAAATATTTTTTAGGTCTATCATCAGGAATTTTATCCTTTTTTGTATTTTAACGAAGAAAAGAATTTTTTTAAAAACTTGTCAGAAAATCTTTTTTATATACTCTTAAATAAACCAACAATTAAAGCTTCAATTACTACTCAGAATGATATACTACTCCAAGTCGATATACTACCTCAAGACGATATACTACCCCAAGACAATATACTACCCCAAGATAATATATTATCCCAGGATGATATATTATTCCAAAACGATATACTACCCCAAAATGATATATTGTCCCAAGACTATATACTACTCCAAGAAGATATATTTCCTCAGGATACTATTGAAAATAAAAATATACAATATAAAAAAAAGGAACTTTATTTATTATTGGATCGTGTTAAAACTATTATTCATAAAAATACTCAAACGCCAAATGCAGAACAATGGATTGAGTCTATTGATAAAAATTTTAATGCTTTGTGAAAAATGGTAGATAATTGTGAACGATTTAATAGAAAAAGAAAAATACCGAATACTTGAAAAGGTCGTAACTACAATATATTCTAAATTTAGTAATAAAAATAAGTTAGTAATGTACAAATAAAATTATTATAATTTAAAGTCTTCAATTAAGTTAAGTTCTTTGTTGAGATTAGGGTTAGGGTAAAGTTACTAAAAGTCTTTTTTTTCAAGATTTTAGTAAAAAAAAAATGCTGAAGCAGAGGCGATAGCTATAGCGAAAGCATAAGCTATCCTTTGTGAAGTAAAGGATAACAGATTGACTACTATTCTCAAAATGTAAATAATTATAATGCATATGTTCATAAATAATATTGATATATTAATATATATTTATTATTTATATTTAATATTGGAAAATCCCGTGAAGATTAGTCATGTGATCTGCAAAATTTTTTTGACTGATATTTTAAATGCTGTTTTGATTATCACATGACACTTGGCCTAAATTAAAGTTAAGTTTAGAGCATAATTTAGGCTGATTTTGTTAGTGCAGTAACTAAATGACGTCATTCTACATCATGTAGATCACTGGGTTCCTTGTTCTTGAAGTGTCTCTTAATTCTAGCCAAATTTGTCAAGATTTTGTCTAGTTGGGATTTTAAGATAAATCCTTTTAAATTGATGATACTTTGATGAAAGAAAAACTGACTTAACTGATGTGGAAGAAACTCAAAATGAAAGTCAAATTAAATTTTTGGTAGCAAATTTAGCAAATTTAGCAACATTGGCGCAGAATTAGATAAACTTATCTGTGAATAATTCAAATGAATATTAAGAGTGAGTGTAAAATTATTAGAGGAGAAATTTGCATTACTGAAAGTTATTCAAGAAGAAAGAGAAAAGATTGTATCATGAAAGAGTTAAAAAAATCTATAAATACTGTAAAATAAAAAATAAAAAAAAAAGGATAGAAAATTCGATTTGCATACTTATATGGCATTGTTGTTTAATCTTAAGAGATAATAAGAGTATCTCAGAGTATTGGCAAGTTTATTACATTGCATAATAAGTGACTTTTTGTTTTTAATTTATTAGTCTTTTACAATATATTTCTTCTCTAAGATCAAAGATAAATTTTTCAGATGTTTCATATAAATTTTTTTCTTAAGTTTCATTTCTCAGTAACAGTAATATTATATAGTAAAAATGGTGATTTGTCTAACAAGACAACATAGTTTACTAAAGAAGAACTAAATTAAATTGGATTAACTTAGCCTTTTATCGTTTGTTCAAATTCAAACTAGTATTTTCTCAATATCGACTTATTCTAGTTACAATTCAAAGTCTACATCTTCAAGATATCTATTTTACTAAAGAGTCTTAAATAATTCTCAGTAAATTTAAGCTATACAAAATTAATCCTTTGTTTGATTAGTAATGTTCATATATCGATCTACAAAATTTAACTAATCAGACAAATTTTTAGAATTGCTAATCTAATTTATTTATATAATAGGAGAAAATAAATACTAAAAGTAAATGTTAAATTTAAAAAAGAGACTTGAATCTAATAAAGACTAGCAATTCTCTTGATAGTAAAAGAAAGATACAACAGCAGTTGTCTGAACAAGAAATTTTTAATTAATCATGCAAGATAATACAAATTCAGAAATCATGAAAATAGACACAAAAACATTATATTATTCAGATGAGCTTTATATTTAGCATATGGAAGTATCTATTTAATGCAACAGACATGCATATATTACGAGATTTTAAAAAAAAAAAACTATCTGAATAGATGACTATATCATAGTAACTTTTTGGTAACAAAACTAGGAAATGAATGAAGTAATTGCATTGGATAGTAGTAGTTCAAGTACTTCAAGTAATAAGGAGCATAGGGCTTCAAAGGTATTAATTAACAAAGAGCTAATTAGCTCATCTCTGAGTTATTTTTAAATATTTTCTTTTATTGATTATGAAAACAAGACTAAATATCTGTACAAGCTAGTATCAGGTTTATTGTTATCTCAACTTATGTCTATATTTTAAAATAACAATAAAATACAATTTTTATTTGTTATATGTCTATAGACATAATGTTTGAAAATAAAAAAAAAGATGTTATGAAATAACAAGTCTTCTTTCATAGTACTTAAAATATCATAAAATTCTAAATCAAGAGGATTAGGTATTGATGCAGGTATACAAAAATCAGATAGCATTCTATGAAAAAAACATTCTGTCTTAATATTAATAGTAAATTTTTGAGGCTGAATAAGAATTTAGTTGTTATCATCAATAGTTTCGAATTCAAATTTCTTTAAATATAAAGTATATTAAAATTATTTTCTGTTAACTAACTTTATATTTATAATGTAACTTATTGTAACAGGTATTAGTTCTCCTAATATCCTATTGTCTGTACAAAAATGCTATACCTATAAAAAAATAAAAATTGTTAAATGATAGTAAGAAAAAATTAAAAATTCATATTTTCTTACTTTTATTCTTGAAATAACTGTATCACATCATATTAATTTTATCGCAATTGTATCATGAGCTCTACCTAGTTAGAGCCAATAGTTTTTTAATGAATTTAATAAATAGGCTTCAGTTTCTAAAGAAGTGACTTCTATCACAAGATTGGGCTACAGTTCATGCTAATAGTATATAATCACTAGTATTATAAACTTGGTTATTATAATGATAAAAATATTTAAGCTCTACATACAGAATCTGAATCCAAACATCTATATGAATTTATATTAGGTTTGTGCTTTGGTATAAAAGATCTATCTGCTTCTTTTCCCATATTACTAGCTTTTGTTCCATTATTTCAATAATAGAAGGCATATTTATATTATCGAACAATCTTATTAACAATTCAAAAACAGATTAAATGCTTACGTATAGATTCTAAATTAATAAGTACTATTTCTGGATTCTTCAAACAAATTAACTTTTTAATTACTCTAGAACAAATCTTATGAGGTTCTAAAGGCAATTCATAAACATAAATATTTCTATTTATTTACTTCTAAACATATACATTAAAGAAGTCAGTTCGCTCTGTATATTTCTCCTAATCGATATCACTTTTTAGTAAATAGAGCAACCTTAATATTTACTTAAGATATTAGCTACTGACTTAATCATAAAAGGAATTAAACAAAAAAAATACTTATGAAGCTTCTTCCTATTTTGCACTCAGATATATATTCCCTTGGGTTTATCACAATTCTTGAAATTTTGTCAGAGTTTCATTAGATTTTGAAAGTTGAAAGGTAGTATTGCTATTTGCAATAATTAAAGATATTTCTAGAGAGTTATCTAAAAAAAAAAATTATAATTACATATCTTACTCACTAGAGTTCTGATCTATTATCTGTTTATTCATTTATCTATCAGATATCCAGATCTGAATTTATTCAGGTATCCATTTTACTAATAATATCTGAATAATTATCTGAATATTTGTCAAATTATCTGAATTCTAATAGTAAATAGATATCTGGATAAATTCTAATAGGATAAATGAATGGTAGATTTATCTGAATTAGAACTCTATTACTCACATTGATATCTCAATAGAGCTTTCTGTTTCTCTTGAAGTCGAGCTGTCTCTTGAAGTTGTATTGCTATACATGATGATTTAGAACTGCACTTAAAAACTATTTAAAGATATTATAATCACATTTACCTTGATACTTCACTAATAAAGCTTTTTTCTTTCGAGATTGAGCTATTAGTGTTGTATAATAGTTTGTAGCCAGGGTATCAGTATTTCTCAAACAGATCTAAATTATTAAACCTAGCTGCTGCACAAAAATGTATGGATGATCTTTAATTTTGATTGGCTAAAAGCAATGATCAAAAATTTTGGCTAGAAATACTCAAAATTTTACTAATGAAATCACTCATATGGGTGGATTTGATATATATAATGATCATTTGAATATAACAAAATCATGTCATTATTAGCATTATAAAAAAAATAATAAATTCAGTCCATAATCAAAATAATTCAGCTCAGTTTCATGTTTATTTCTTTTTTTAGATTAGAGTATAACTAGAGTATACTTTCTAAAATAGGAAATCAAAATAAACCAAAATAAGAACTTTATTAGTTTAAATTCAAGATAATCACAAAATTGATATGCAATTCAAAAATATCACACTAATAAAAATATATTGAATCTACTCATATGCTACTGCGTATTAAGTGCAAATTGTTTCTGAGCTAATTTTAATATAGCATAAGCCTATTTCTTTGAAAATTTATATTTTTAAAATAAAAAAGTTAAAGAGTTAATTCTAGCTAGAATTGAGTAAATAATTATGTAATGTGAATTAAAATTTTGCAGATCTATAGCTATTAGCTAATCAAAATCAAGGATCATTTACGTATTTTTTGTGTGGTAGCTAGATTTAATATCTAAAATTATTAGAAAATAATGTATAAGTATAATCTTTAAAGAAAAATTCATATTTTTTTTTTTTAATTCAGCAGTCATGCCATAACTTTATTTAGATTTGTTTTTCATTTAAAAACAACGTTATTTAGTGGTGTACTATCTAATGACTAATTTTTTAAGCTATGACTCACCTGGTTATCCTATAGATACCTATGTGTGATCTGCTATAGTGACCTTTGTCCTATATTAAAACAATTTATAATATAAATTGTAAGTCAAGATAGGAAGGACGCCACAGCCCATCATAACTATTTTTAACTCCAACTATCTATTATTCTCTTCTTTACTTCTCTAACTATACTATTTAACACTATTTTTAGACTAACATTACAAACTTCTATATTTTCATCTACTCTGTTATTTGTTTTTTCTCTAGCAGATACTTTTTTCCGATCATTCTTCTCTCTTTTTTTCTGTAAATATTTTTCTTTTTTCGAGATTTTTTCCTTTTTCTTCCATGCCTCCATATCTTTGCATCAGGTTTTTCATATTTCTACATATACGAGTTTTATTCAGATATGCTAGTAGAGGCTCCAAAAT